AACACAGGAGCCCATCTTTTTGTAGTTTAAGCTGTTAATGGTTTACAGACTGGTGCCAGACAAAGCTTGTTGAAACATATCAAATGAGCATGAATGCAAACGGTTAAGCTGTAATTTCTGAAGCAGTACACGGGGAAAAAAAGTCAGATAAAAATGAAATGTCCTTATTTGTTCACAAGTATGTGGCGACAGGTTTGTTTGTGCTTCGTCAGAGCTATGGTGATCCTGTATTTGATCCTTTCCCATGAATTCTGAAATTAGCTTCCTCAATACCAAAACCTTAACTTCTCTGCACTAAGTGTATTGTATTCCGTTGCACTGCAGAAGATTTAATTAATTATCCTGTAGCTATGAGGTCAAACTATTATAAGTTTCATGTGTTTAAAAGATAGTTAACTACTGCAACGTTTTTCAGTGTTCTTTTTGGACATGCATAATATATATACACAAGAACTTATATGTGTATATATAAGTGCATATGGCTATATATGCATTTTCACAACTCCATTGTAGTTCTTTGGCTGTGTAGTATCATCCAGGACATGCATTGCTCTTTCACTGTCTGGCATTACAGGAAACAGTTTTGTTCAAAGCAAAACTAGCTGCTCCATTGCCAAAACATGATACGATATCTGTGGTTGTAATGTGAAATTTTCATTCTTAGATGATGAATAACATCATGTTCAAAGCCGCTAACCTTTGAGAAGGCATGGCTCGGTCTCCTCTTCCAGCTGCAGTAGTTGCAATGAGATAACCTGGAGGAGGGAGTTATTATGATGCTAATCTATACTTTTTTATTTAATTGGCTGAATACATTTTCAAAAAGAAACAGAACTAATATCTGAGAATAAATAAACACAATATATTTTCACTATATGTATTTATGCAGTGTACCTTCACAGAACCTTTTAAAGTAAGATATATAATGTATCCTGTATCAAAAAGTCATCTGTAACTTATGTTTTCCAGTGCTGTGTCATTAAAAATAAACCTTTGGTCCAAAGAAGCTGTTTCTTCTGTGGTGCTTTTGAAGTTTTATAGGAAGTCCATATAATTTATGCATTGTATTATATAATCAAATCTTATTTGAATCCCTCTTTTTCCAAAGGATTGCAGCATAACAGGTGCAACGTCTAAATTCTTGTTCTCAACCTTAGTTGTGGCCAGAGTTCCAAAAGGTCTGGAGCCCAGCTCAGCATGTCTCTCTGCTGCTCTTCCTGTTCCTGACTCTGCCTGCCAGCTAATATCTGTCCACTGAGGAAGGGAGCTTGTCTGCATTTAACCACCACTCAGCTGAAGATCTCTTACTTCTTAGTAATTTTTCACTTGTCCACTTTTTTACATGTGGAAAGTAAGTTCTCTACAAATCTGCTCCACTGTGTTTGCCGAGGCATGGAAGCTGCAAATATTTAGGAACATCTATATTTTCCTAGGAATTAGTGACTTTGGTGGGTACCTGGCATCCAGCCAGCCTCCACTACACAAGGTCCTGCAACATTCTCTGAGTGGCTAAAATCTGACAGACCTGTTGTGGTTCTGTGACTCCCAAGGTGTGATAGAGATATACACAAAAGTGGAAGTTGTCCATAGTCTTTGGCAGAGATTCAGAACCCTGCATTTCAAGTCTGTAAGACATTTGACATGAGGCTGTGCAAATACTGAGGATCTTCAGGCATCTCCTAACCCAAGAAAGAATATCACACTACTCTCCACCTAAAATGACATAATTCAAATTTAAAAGACAGATATTAAACAGTTTCACTTAAAAATCTCTGAGTAGGAATTTTTGGCATCCATCCATGCCTGTGGATTACACAGCTGCCCACAAAGGCATTCTGAGAGTTTTACTCCTTCATACCAGCAGGGGGTGGTAGACGCAAGAATTTGCATTTGCCAAATTAACTCTCAATTGGCTCATCTTCAACTATGAGTTTGTTTCATCAATATCTCTCATTATCTGAAGTTGGCTAATGTCTGCAGCCACACACAGCAAATTCAGTGCCATACCAGAAAAAAAAGTCAGTTTTATGCATGCTAACTGGCTACTTCAATCTGCAGGCAAAAAAAAAGATAGAAAACTACTTTATCAAGAATGAACATGTTGATTTAAGAGGAAGAATAGTTTTACATGCTACTTCTGCTTAAAATAAATTTATAGTCTACCTGTAGTTAAGTAAATAGCTAAATTATTAATTGCAGGAAAATATTTTAAAAGAATTAAAAAAAGTTATCTTTCAGGGTGATGGAACATGCCCTGCCATTGCAAAAGGTCCTAGGAATATTTAAAATATACTAAAGTGCCCCCAAGTGCTGCATTGCTCTGCATTTTATACAAAGGATGCAAAGATCAAGAGGGGACATACAAGCCAGCAGAGACACCCCAAAAAATCCTCTCTGGATGCCTGTGCAAGTCTTCTGTTCAGCAAAGCCTGTCATCATCCATAGCCTCATTGTGGCAGCTCCAAAACCATGTACCCCCATTTCCTCCTTGCTCACAACCTCCGTGCTGGAGCCTCAGTGCTACTGTCCTGACAGCCATCCCAGCCATCCTGGCCTCCTCAAGATAAGAAAGGCAGTGGTGCTGAGACTGGTAGGAAGATGGAAGTTTTTCTCAATCATGAGCTCTCTTCTTACAAGGGTGTGTTTTGGAGATGCATGTTTTTTTGGGTGTGGGGCAGGGGGAGAGGTTGACTGGTTTTTTCCTTTCTGTTTGAGAGGTAACCAAAAGGAAATGGCTCATGCATCATTATTTGACATGTAGCTGGCATAGCCTCATTGGATAGTTTTCTGCCACTCAGATCTGCTTCACCTCCTCTTGAGGCTGAACCTGACCCTGTGCCTGAAGGAAGCCCTAAGAAGAGCAATAACTGTGTGGTTGCTGAGCACTTTCTTCCTGGCAACGTTTTTTTCTGGTAGTTCTACGTGCCCTGCTCATCCTGCTCATTCACCAGTGGAAAAGGGGATGCTCTCTTATCTCAGCTTCTCAATTTTTTCTCTTTTACTGCCACAGGTGGCTCTGCATAAGACTTGCAATAAACACCTATATCTATCACCAAGCCAGAAGGAAAAACAGTGCTAATAAACTGCCATGTCTCCAGTCCTGATTTAAGCAATGTTTTTATTCACTGGTACCAAAAGAGGGTCAATGCACCTCCCAAGCATGTTGCCTACATGTCTTCCAGGTTTTTCCTTGGAAACCAGTCTGATGAGGGGAAGTTTGCTGTTGAGAAGGATCTCAGGAAATCTGTCTGCACCATGATAGTGAGCAAAGTAAAGCTGCAAGACTCTGCCACCTACTACTGTGCTATTTGGGATGCAAAGCAGTAGAAAGCCACAGGGGACCTGCACAAAGACATGCTCTACTTTCCAGATAAGAACCTGGAGTGTTTGACAATACACAGGAACACTGCCACCCTACTTTTCCCAAAAGCTTTGAATCAGATTGCAGGCAGCCAGATACAAAAGATGCTGCTGAGCTTTGCAGATGCACACTACAGCCAGTACCAGCAGACCTGTTATTCCACTTTGCCAATAAAAAAGGCATTTTTTGGGTCAGGATGGACTGCCTCTGAGTGGATTTATAAGATGGCAGGTTTGGCTAAAAGCAGGGTCCTGCTAAAAGCAGGAAAAATCCTTCTATTCCCACTACCCTTCAAGCCACAACTTTGGAATAAAACCCCAGTTCTGTCATTTATATGGCAGAATAGAAGGTTATAAGTTATATATATATATATATATATATATATATAACCTATATATATAGGTTATATATTTTAGCAAAATAAACTTGAAGCACCAGTTAAGACTGCAGATGCAATATACCCATTTTATACTTCTCTGTCACTTGAGAATCTGGTTTTATTTTCTCTTTGTTTTCTGCTGGAGCTGATCACACTTTCATTTAGGTTAAAACACAAGTGTCCTCATTGATTTCAGTGAGGCTTCTCATACTATATAGCAAGACTGCAGCTATAGAACAGATGCTTTTATTTTTGCAAACAGAAAGACATTCCTTTGAGTAATTTCAGCTCTTTCTGTTTATGAACAAACAACATGTTGATAAAGTCATGGGATCATTGTGTTCCTATCCCAAAGGACCCAGTATTGACAGTACCCAGTATGGGGCCTCCAGAGCACACACTGAGCACTGGGGCACCACTTGCATTTCACAGGAGATTGAAAGATCAGGCTCCTGGCACAACTGTAGGACAGCAGTTACTGGATCTGTGTGAAAATTCTTGAAGAAAAATTAAAAGCTGGCTAACAAGTAAAATGACAACAGCAGGAAAAGGGTTTAGTGTTCTTTGCAAGGAAATTAGAGGTGACCTTGTGTCTGAAAAGTTACTTTGAATTGCACAAAATAATTTCTGTATTTCACTTGACTTAATTGTCTTTATTTTAAACTAGGCCTATGGGGGTTGCAAAGCATTTGTGTTTCTTTTCATTGTGATTTTTTCCAGCATTTGGAGAAGCTACTCTGAGGTGTAGCATCTCACCTTACCTGTGACAAGAAACAGTCACAAACACAACAATCCTGCTTTTGAGCTCCCAAATGTCTGCTGTGTATTTTCCTGGTCTTCAATATTCAATCTGTGTCACAAACAGAAATTTCACACCCCTCCAATTAATTTAGCTCCATGATTTGAGTTTTGGTTTTTTATGTTTTTTTGGCAGCCAACATGAAGAAAAGTCCATTTCCTTGGTCTTGAAAGACCAAGGTAGAGTCCAGGTATTGTTTAGAAGCTTTCAACTAGTCTAAAATCAGTGGTAAAATTTGCTTCAGGCTACAAAATTACTTTGTAGATGAGTTAAGGTAATTTGAAGGGAGGTTTGTGCCACTTGTGTAAAGCTATAATCTGACTGTTGATTTTGAAGGGTTCAATCAGGCTGCTTTATCTCAAACAACACCTGCCAGGACAACCCCTCCGAAGACCCAAGTGAGTAATTTCCTTTCCTCAGTTGCAACGCTCTGCCCTTGCTGGGAGCGCTGTTAGCTTCCTCTGAGGGCAGACACAAGCAAGAGCCCTCAGGATGCTGCTGCTTCGTCTCCTGGCCCTGGCAGCAGCCTGGTCTCGTAGGTCCCCTTTGTCACCATGACACAGAGCAGTGGAAGGATCCATCCCATGTTTATGTGTGTGGATGAATAGCAAGCTAAGAGTATTTGTTCTGTTTTCTCTCTTTCTTTCTAGATGGACAAGCACAAATGTTTCTAAAGCAGAGACAAGTGTCCATTACCAGAGGGCACAAGACAGCTGCATCAATGGACTGTATAGCTGAGGGTTTTTCTGATTTCCAGAGCTTATATATACATTGGTACCGACAAAGACCCTCCAGAGCTCCAGAATGGATTCTGTACATCGGCCCCCATGCAGCTTTTTACGATGACAGTTCGTACAGCAACAAGTATTCCTCTTTTAAGAGAGGTACAAACATCTGCACTTTCACAATCAATGACATCAACTCCAATGATGAAGGTACCTACTACTGTGCCTACTGGCATTTCCACAGAACTTGCAGGTGACAGGCGGTCTGTACAGAAAGCTGCCTGTGCCCTGAGGGGCAGGCTTTCTGTCAAACACAGAGAATCGTAACTGCACTTTCCTACCTCTTAAACACCCCAACACATTGATGCTGAGCATGTTTACATGAATATCAGACAAGGAGAAAACCAAAGATGTGCTGCAACTTAGGTGGTGCAATGCTCTATGCTGGGGAAAATGAGCACTCCTGTGGGTAATGGCATTGCAGCTAAATTATATAGTAACACAGATCATCTCTGAACAACACAGATACTTCCCCAAATACAGCCTGAGAAAGCAAAAATGAAGCAATATTGGGGAGGGAGCATAGGAGAAGGATATTTGCACTTAAGATCTATCTTGGGAGGCTTCAAAGGCAGATGATGGTGGAGATAAAGGTGATATTTATCAGTAGTAACTCCCATCCTAATGGTTATGATGACAATGACTTTTGTAGGCAAGGATCCATTACACTGGGCAACACCTGAAAAGACTGTTCCAAGAAAGAGCTGTGAAGACCATTTACAAGGACAAGCTGCAGATTAAACCAGGGAACATATAGAAGTGGTGATACAGCACTGCTCAGCCAGACAGCTGTGAGGAGAGCTGCAGTGAAATTTCATGTGGCAAGGGTATTCACAACCCCCTGCCCATGCGAGTTCTTTTTTGTTTTTTTCATTTTAGGTATATCTGCACTACAGGACCTGACACAAACTCATGTATTTATCACAAGGACAACAGAAAAGTATTAACTTTCTGTACTAGTTGTAATATGAGATTTATTTGTGTACAGTGCTATTGACAAAAGGTTAAAAAAGATCCAAAGGATTCTCTCTTTTGGGTCAGAAAATGTGAAAATTTTCTCAGGGAAGAGCATGACGTATGATGGCTGCTTCCCAAGGGACCATTTGCTATAAAGTCTTTGCAGGGCATATTTTCAGCCTTTGAAATTCAGGGGAAGTACCATAAAAAGCAAGGGGTAGCAAATACCTATCTGGTAGAAATGAATGCTTCGCTCTGGTTTTGCCACAGCCACTGAGTCTGTCCTAATAGAGCCACCAGCTGTATTTTTTCCTATTTGGTGCTACAACACCATTATCAAGGAAGGCAGGCACTTGCACAGAGGCACCTTGCTGCTGGTAAGACACTACTGCCAGAGGAACTCCTTATTTCATGCAACAACCTGAGAGAGCTAAAGGAATGCAAAGATCTTCAAAATAAATGTGTCACGGTTAGTGCAACCAAATGTTTACACGGCATTTTATGTATCTGTAATTCTTGATGCACAGTGAAATTAACAGCTGACTGTTTTTCTAAGATAGATTGATAGATAGACAAATATGATTAAGTATTCCTAGGCCTGTTCCTATGCAGTTGGAGGTGCAAAGCTAACCAAAATTCTTCCCCTCAGGAGAGGAGGAGAGACAGAGTCTACCAATCAATCTGAATCAGGCAAAACCTATTTCCTGCCCCTCCAACTCTTTCTGCCTCAAAGACCCCTTTTATACTATAAATTTTTGGCCCTTTCCAATGAGATGAAACAATCACATGCTGTAGATGGGGTTTGGTAACTTTGGTCATACATGTATTACATGTCTCCTGTTCTTCCTCATTTGCATTCCAAGGGACATTAAAGTTAAATATGTCAATTAGAGTGTCACTTACTTTTGGTCAGAATTTATATTTAACACAAGTGATGAAATAAACACTTTTTCCCCACCCCCCCCTAATATCTGAAGCAGTCTTTGCTGTATGATCTTTTCCAGAGAGTTTTTGTGTGCCTTTTCTTCTCATCAGAGCAGATTTACAGCAAGGCTCACCTTTCAGAGTGAAGGCAGAGTGAGGAAAAGGGGTGGGACGTGGGCACAGGTGCTCCTTTGTTCCTCACTGAAACCACACAGGGCTGTGAGACCTCCACTTCACCCCAGGCATCCTTTGGTTGTGAGACCTTGCTCGAGCCAGGTGTAAGGGCAGCACAGAGCCCAGCTCATGTCATCCTCAACCAGCCTCATAAATTCCACATGCACTTAGAGCAACACTGAACAGCTCTGACCATTTGCCACGCTGCTGCAGGCAGATGCCCTCAGGTGGGAAGTAGCCTGCCCATCTCTCCATCCTGTCAAGGTCCCTCTGAAGGGCTGCACAGCCCTCTGGGGTATCAGCCACTCCTCCCAGCTTCGTGCTGTCAGTGAACTCAAGAGGCATCTGTCCCTTCCCCCAAGTCATTGGTGAGAAAGTTGAACAATACTGAGTCCAGTGCTGAGCCTTGGCAGACACCACTAGTGACCAGCCTAGTTAAAACCTAGCTGGGGCTGTTCAGCCTGGACATGAAAATGCTTAGGGGAGACCTTATTGAAGGATTCCAGTATCTAGAGGGCACTGATGGAAAACAAATCTTTACAAGGGTAGATGGTGATAGAAGAATGGGGAAGGGTTTAAAACTGCAAGAGTTTTCAAGTAGATGTTAGGAAGAAATTCTTTACTCTGAGAGTTGTGAGGCACTGAACAGACAACCCAGAGAAGATCCAGATGCTCCATCCCTTGATGTGTTCAAGGCCAGGTTGGATGGGGCCCTGAGCAACCTGACCTAGAGGGTGACATCCCTCCCCACAGGGTGAAGGTGAAAGCTAGATGATCTTTAAGGTCCTTTCCAACCCAAAACTTTCTATTATTCTATGATTCCCTGAAGTTCTAGGGAAAGGCTGGTGGAACATTCTTCTGGGACAGTTCTGAGGTGTCTGAGAAGAGAACATCCTTGGGAACGGCCAGGCTGAACAACTTGAATTTTTATGTGTGCGCTCAGTGGGTAAGTCTGAAATAAGTGTAGTAGGTAGATAGATTAATAAGTTTTTTTTCAGGCTGAGTATTTTTTCTCCATTCTGTGCTGTTCCTGCCATGGTTTAGCTTGCCAGTAAATGTAACACCCCCTGTGGTGGTGCGTTGAAGAACGACCATTGGATGTGCTGAATGAGTCATTTCCTCCTCCCAGTTGTTCTATACTTTGTCTACCTGATGGGCTTTATAACATTACAACATTAATAACTCTCTCTATTTATTTCATTTTCAGGTCTAATCTGCACAGGCAGTATGTTGCTGTTTCCAGTCCTTCTTGCAACTTCATTTTGGTCCTGTAAGATCTTTTTCCTCTCCTGTCTCCTTCCTGTCTACAGTGAACATAGGCTGGTTCCAAACTCCGGGAGTTTTACCCTCATGCAATTCCTGTGCTTTTGCTGACAGGTGTAGACATGCAGTTTGTGCCAGTGCAAACCCCAGAGCTGCAGAACCAGATGAAGGGCACGTCTGCCAGCATGGTACGTGACTGGAGGGACAAAACCATTGTGCACTGGTACAGGCAGCTTCCCGGAGAGCCGCCGAAGAGGATACTGTACGTGACTGGAGGGACACCTGTTTTTGATGACAACAACAATAAAAATAGATTTCAAGTTCAGGACGATCCTACTCAGCCTGTATATCATCTCATGATAAATTCTTTAACCCCGAGGGATTCAGGCATTTATTACTGTGCATACTGGTACATAAGAATAACCACAGCATTAGCTGGGCAAAGATAAGCCTTACAAAAATACTTCTTGTGCTCTGAACCGCAAGCTGTGAACTCTGCTAAAAATTAAAATACTTCCTTTTCCACCCCTTTCATGATTTTCTGCAGCAGGAGAGGAAAAACAACAATGTCTTATGACAAGTGTTAAATATCTGATCAATCTGATGTTGACAATCAGTATATCATTTCAGTACTCAGCTTTATCTGCAACATCCAGAAACTGAAGCCTTCCTGTCACTTTAAGATAAATATATGAAACATTGCTCTTAAAATGAAGGCTAGATTTTACTGAAAGCACTTGCACGACAGTGAACACAGTCTGTGTGTGAGTTATAGATTTCTCTTCCCTGTTAGAGTCCTAGCAAGCAGAGCAACATTTCTTCATCCCTTGGTATTTTCTCTTGAAGAAAAGACAGGAATAGGAAAGAACAGGGGAAGACCAGCTGATAGTGCACATCCTCCTTCGTATTTTTCTTTTGCCTTCCTCTGCATTTCAGTCACTAAAAAGTCCTAAAACAGCCCAGAAAACCTAATTTTATTGTCACAATTCCTCATTTTATATGTCCAAGACATAAATTGAAATCCTCAGCCATGAGCTATGCCACAGACAAGCAGAGACTCTGAGAGCCTTTGGGTTAAGTGTACTGAGTTTTGAAAATCAGATTCTACAAAGACTGATTCCAGGAAAGATGGCATTTTCCTGAAAGCTAGCTCAAAACACTGAGACACTTTTACATCTTTCTCTTTCTGAATTTGAGTGCACATGTTCAGTATCCTTTAAAAAATGAGCACAAATACCTCCACAGTGAGGTATTTATAGTTCTACAGGCTCTGAACATTTTTTTGGTTAAAGTTTCTATGAGATTTGAGTATATAACATCTTGCTATGGATGTTTCTGTCCTCCTCAATTGTTTGAAAAATAGGTACATGTGACCTCAGATGTTAACTTCAGTCAGCCTGCCTTTTGTCATTGTATTGTGGGATCTGAGAATTTCTTACAACCAGGTTAGGAGGTTTCAGGGATGAGTTGGCAGCAACCTCCTGACGTGGGTGACTGGGCAGCCAGTAAGGACCTTGTTGTGGATGGAAAGGTCAGGACAGGTTTGGCTGCAGTGACTATGAGCCAGTGGCATTCAGACTCCTGAGAGAAGGCTGCCAGGCAAAAGGCAGGACCTGAGCCCTGAACTTCAGGAGAGAAGGCTTTAAAGTTCTTCAGGTTGGAAGTATCACATTGGATATGACCCTGGAGAGAAGTGTCCAGGAATGTTACTTGATATCCAAAGATCTTCTCCAAGTTCAAGAAAGGTCCAGTCTGACACCTAGAAAACCAAGTAGAGGCAGCAGGACTACCTCCAGAGTAAGCAAAAAGCTGCTGATTTTAATCAGGCATAAAAGTGAAATATAAAAGAGGTGGAATCAGGGGCAGGTGATCCAGAAGGAGTATGGAGCTGCTGTTCAACCATGCAGGAATAGGCTTAGGAAGGCAATAAACTAGCTAGAATTGAATTTGGCACATGATGTACAGGGGAACAAGAAAGGATTCTATAAATACAGCAGCAGCAAAACAAACACTAGGGAAGGCTGCTGGATGGGGCAGGGAAATTGGTGATGCATGATATGGAAAAACCTGAGGTACTCAGTATTTCCTTTGCCTCAGCATTTACCCATAAGAATGGCCTTCAGGTATCCCACACCCCTGAGACCAGGTGGAAAGTTTGGATGAAGAAAGACAAAGCCTTTGGTGGAGGAGGATCAGGCTAGTGAGCACCTGAACTGTACACACCTAAGTCCATGGTGCCTGATGGAATGTTCCCACGTTGGCAGCTGGCCAATGCCTTTGCAAAGACACTCTTACTTACCTGTGGAAGCTCACAACAATCTGCACAGGTTCCTGAAGACTAGAAGAAATTAAATGTGTCTCTTATTTTCAAAAAAGAGAAAAAGGAAGACTTGGGGAACTACAGCCAGGTTAGCACTATCTCTGTCTGGGAAGGAGATGGAGCCACTAATCCTGGAAACCATTTACAGACAGCAAAGTGAAGAAAGTGATCAGGATTAGTCAGCATTAATGTACAAGGAGGAAGTTATTTAGACAACTTTGATAGCAAAGCTCTTAGCAAAATATATTTTGGTCATTTCATCAGTGACAAGTGTCAAGTGAACCTGGAAAGGTATTTTGTAAAACAATATTTCAGCCACTCCATGTGTCTTCTCCACATAGACACTTTCATGTTTGGTCAGTAATTATTCCTACTTGTAGACTTACTGTGTTAGAAAGCTTACAGTGTCTGTAAATTAGGCTTTTAATCATGTGTGATCCAGTCACTGACATATTCCTTTCATTTCTTCATCTGGAATCAGGTACCTGGCAGATTTCTGGTTTGTGATCAGAAGATTTTTGCTTTGTGATGAGAAGAATAGCAATATACTGCTTCTGTTTCATCCATGGTATTTTTTGGCAGCAGCACCTTGATTTCAGGTCCTCAACATGCAATAGACAATGAAGTTTTCATTCTGCTTAGCTACAGTTGCCATGCAAAAGACGACCCTCCTCACAGCTCTGCATTCACATGCACCTTTCCAAACCACTCAGCAACGTGATTACCACCAGTGTGCTGTACGTGGTCAAGTGCCATCAGGAGGGAGAACGAAGAAACCCATCTTCACTCCTATCTACCAACAGCCCAGGCTCAGCTGGGGAGACAAGACATTCTTGTTTTTCCTCTCCTGCTGCAGAAAATCATCAAAGGGGTGGAAAAGGAAGTATTTTAATTTTCAGCAGAGTTCACAGAGGAGACCTCACAGCATCAGACCCATTCATCAAGATATCTCTCTGCAATGGCTGTTGACAACAGCTGTTCTCTTTTGTTTTCCAGCCTTGTTTCCAAGAAATGTTTGCCTCTCAGCTAAGCTATGAAACTGAAATCCTGCGGCTGTGCATTTCCTCCCGCACCCTGAACCAAAGGAAAGGCAAGTCCCCACAGCTGAGCTTCTGCAGTCGCTGCAGGTTGATGGTCTGCAGCTTTGGTGGAGGGCACTACCAGCACAGGGGCACCCTGGGCACTTCTGCACCTTGCATCTAGGTGACTGAGCTGAAGCAGCAAAAGGCAATCCTCACCTGCTGTGACCCTGCACACCTCTCTGCACCCCTCAGGTGAGGGACACACTCACTGCCCACCAGGGAAACATCCAGGCTGAAACCTTCACTCCACCACACATATCTGAACATGCTCTTGCTTGAAACCTTTTCTCAGTTGCTTTGACTAGAATTTTATAGGGCCACAATCCCTGGATTTTATCAATATTTCCCAAATTTACTTGAAAAGCAGACAGGACTACAGCCTTTTCTCCAATTTTAATATTTGGCAGTCTGGAAAGGATTTTCTGCAAAAACACCCCATCTGCTTGCACACAGAAGATTCGTCACTGAAGACCATTCAAGAGGGCCACCCCCTCCTTCCATACAACACTGTTTCCATTTGGAGTGCCTTTCATCCTCCTCTGAATCTCAGTGAGAGCAAAGCGTGACCAGCAAACATGCTGCTGCTGGTAGTGCTTGTGGCCACAGCCTCTTGGTCTTGTAAGTATTTCCTTATTTTCCTACCTTTCCTAGCAGGCACCCATGGCTTGGCAACAGGCATCTTTCCAAATCCCTAAATTCCAGCTAATGACAATTTTTTTCTCCTTTTCTCTTTCCTAGATGGATTTGCACAGGAAATTCCCAAGCAGAGTCCTATATCTATCACGAAGTTCCAAAAAAGTGCACGGATGACATGTGAAATTAGAACATTACAGGAAAGTTTTGATGACACTGTCATACACTGGTATAAGCAGAAGGAGGGTGAAGCTCCACAGAGGCTTCTGTTTGTTTCAGGAGGCAAAGCTACCATTGAAAGTGGCTTTCAAGCAAACAGATACTTGGTTGAAAGAAGTTCTGTCCAGAAGCAGTGTTTTCTTACAATAAAAGATGTAATTCCAGATGATGCTGCTACTTACTACTGTGCCTACTGGGATCCTCACCGTGATAGAAATGCAAAGATCATCAAGGCAAAAAACCCACCCGCAACGTCTGAACCACAAGATTGTAAATGTGCCACTCCACCAGTCTTCTCACTGCATCTGAGTGAGCTGCTGGAAGGCCCAACCTTTTTCTGCTATTCTAAAAGAGTGGATAACCCCACATGAATGTCCTTCTCAAAGTCTGGTTTATCATTAGCACTCCTGTCTTCAACACACATCTATTTTAAGGGCAAAGGATGCCTTCACTGACTTAAAACTTAACACATAAATACTGGACACTTACAAGCTCCTTTGGTGCTGTTTACACAGCCATGGAATAATTCTGGTGGTCTTTAGGGGAGCAAACAGAGAAGCAGCAATCTTCTGGTCCAGCCACTTTTCTCCCATAGGAAGGAGTAGGCAGAAAAGAAGTACAGTGTGCTGAAGAAAGTTCCTCGGTGATGGGAATGATGTGCTTGCACTGCCAAGCACTTTTGAGGAAATGTTTCCCCATGTAATCTTCCCTGCTGTACATGTAACCAACTATAAGCTGTTAAAAACCTGCAAGCCCTGTCTACTCTAATTCAGTTACCACAAAATTCCACACAGACCTGTTTAAATTAGAGATTTACAATCTCTTATCTACCAGAGCTGATGATGTCCTGTTTATAACAATTATCGTCCTCCACTTCATATTAAGACAAATAAAATTGCCATGGTTTAGGAATGGTATTCCCCAATTTAGTGTTCCCACTGAATCACCCCAAACCTTGCGCTGTTCCCTCACTCCCACTTCCCCTTCTCCCTCCCACCTGCAGTGAGCTAGAGAGGAGAACTGAAGGCACAAAAGGAAAAGATCGTGGTTTGACATAAGAACAATTTACTGGAAACAGCAGTGTGATAAGAAAAGGAACAGTAACAGCAACAATACTAATGACAGTGTACAAGGAAGAGGCAATGATTCATGCACAAGAACTCACCACACAGAGCCATGTAAAACACAAACCACTGCCATGTTACCCCAACCAAAAGAGACCCCCTTTTCCCCTGCCCCCAGCAGTGACATAAAGTGGTGTAGAATACAGGTGTCCCTCCTGACTACTGCAAAAATTAACCCTGTCTTGTCTGAAACCAGGACATCATCCATTCCTTATTCTATACCATCTACCCCACAGTCAGATCCTACACCTTCCAGCTATGTACATATATACACGTATCTATATGAATACAAAAGCATGAGTATCATTCCTACAGTCAATGGCCATCCCTCCAAGATGTCTGTTGAGTTCATTTAGTCCATGACTTAGTTTTACCTGTCCTAGGTGTTTTCCAGGGCAGGAGGGCTGGTGTGCTGTTGCTGTGATGGTGTGATGCAAGCTGCATCAGGGGCTCACAACTGGTGTATCAGGAGCAGTCCATGCTCATTGTCCATGATGGTTATGGCATACAGTGGCAGTGTCATTCAGCAGCTGATATTATACAGTTCAGACTGTTCTTACAGACTGTTCTTACCCAAAAAACAGATCCTCTTGAGGAGCAAATTGCATTTCCCCATCCCTCTGCATTACCCACCATATGCACCCAGGTCCCTCACCAAAAACAGTCCCATGGATGGCTTTGCCTTTGCTTGAGGCAGAACTAATCCAAACTGGCTACTCTAGTATGTATTCCTCATATGCACCATGGGGACTTTATCCCATCCTCTGATATGTGGAGGCTTTGATGGGGCAGGGAAAGCTCAATTAGGAAAGCCTCTGATGTTAACTAACTAGGTGGCCTCTGCTAGATGTAGATCCCAATGTTTGAAGGTCCCACCACCTATTGGTTTTAATATGGTTTTTAATAGTCCATCGTATCATTCAATATTCTCAGAGGCTGGTTTATGAGAGACAATATGATACACCCTCTCAATGCTGTGCTCTCTGGCCCAGGTGTCTATGAGGCCATTTTTAAAATGAGTCCCACTGTCTGACTCAGTTCTTTCTGGGGTGCCATGTCACCACAGGATTTGCTTTTCAAGGCCCAAGAGGGTGGTCTTGTCAGTGGTGTGTGGTACAGGGTACATCTCCAGCCATCCAGTGGTTGCTTCTCCTATTGTAAGAACATAGTGCTTGCCTTGGTGGGTTTGCAGGAGTGTGACACAATCCATTTGCCAGACCTCCCCATATTTATATTTTAACTCTGGTTTCCCATACCACAGAGGCCTTACCCTCTTGGCCTGCTTGATTGCAGCGTACATTTCCCAGTTGTGGATAATCTGGAAGATAATGTCCATGATTAGGTCCACCCCTTGATCAAGAACACATCAGTGTGTTGCATCTTTTCCCTGATGAACTGAGGTGTCATGGGCCCAGTGACCCAGAAATAATTCATCCTTGCCAGTCAAGATGCATCTCAGACACTTAATTTTGGCAGCCCGTTCCACCTGTCTGTTGTTGTAGCCAGCTCTTGGCTACATCTACAGTACATCTACAGGATGTACTTTTCCAACCAGCTTCTCAACCCAGCCAGTGATGTCTTGCCACAGTTCAGCAGTCCACATGCATTTACCTCTGCACTGTCAATTGTTCTTTTTCCTCTCTCCATCCACTCCCACAGAGCATTTGCTACCATCCATGAGACAGGGCACTGGCCATTTCTCTCATTCAGGGATAGCTAAACCCAACTAAACAGCTTTCAGCTCTGCAGGCTTGATCCACCTTGTACCCCAATAGCTTCTGTAGTTCACTGTATAGGACTCCACACATCAGCTTTCCATTTTCAGTGTATCCCTACAGTACAGCAGGAGCCATTAGCAAATAAAAGCTAATAAGCTTGAATCTTTTGAATCTGTCTGGAATCTTGGGCAGTGTTTCCACAGCCAAGGCACAGGTTGGTAAGGAGGAAAAAGATGAACATATTGTCAGAGTCAAGTAATCACCTGAAGCAGTGCTTCCTCTTCTCTCATTGACATCAATGCAAAGGATGCCAAAGGGCTTGCAAGGGATAGCAAGTTCCATACAAACTTCTGCCACCTACATTGTGTACACTGGACAAGGGTCCGCTTGTTATTTGAATCCCTACAGATTACCTTTAGCTCAACTAATTTTCACAGGTACTGGATACCTTTTTCCATGGCATTCCACTTACTTGGGTACTCTATTGGATCATCTTTGAGAGAATGAAAGAATCCTTTCCCTTCTGCTTGAAAGGAGTTGCCTCCAGAGGCTGAAAGTTTCTGTCCTCTTCCCAATCCCCTTGCCAATGCCCAGATCCTGGAGCAAGGATCTCAGATGCTTGGCTTCACTACCATCTACTTTCACATTGTGGGGCACAATTTCCCAGCATCAGAGCAGGCAGGTTCACCAGGGCTTTCCTGACTGGCAGCTGAAATCTTTTCACATATCTCAGAGCTCACCTGGGTAGGGATTAGGTGTTTATCTCTGGCCTTGCCTCTTCCTCCTGTTGTGAGGGCCCTATTCTTCATCCCTCACTAAACAAACTGATTTTGGCTTGGATTTCTTTTTCTGTGCTAGCATGAGTTGTTCCTCCCATTCAGCTGCAGTTTGAGGGGCTACAGTGCCTGTTGGTCTGTTTTCCCTCTCTTCCTCTTGAGGGCATTTGCTGGTATTGAACTGTGTCCAATAAAGAGTAGGCAGGGCACATTGCAGTAAGTTACACTTCTGCCAGGGTCCTGCAGAAGTTCAGGGGTGAACTTCCAAAACACTGAAGCAGAATAATCCTTCAAAAGCTGGTCCATTTTCTCCTACATTTCATGGCATTCGTGACTATCCACTCTCAAGTTAGATTTCTGAATAACCTCCCTATTATATAATATATAATATATAATATATAATATATAATATATAATATATAATATATAATATATAATATATAATATATAATATATAATATATAATATATTATATATTATTATATTATTATATTATATTATATTATTATATATTATATATTATATATTATATATTATATATTATATATTATATATTATATATTATATTAATAATAACCAGTCCTCTGTCCCGACTCTAAGCCACACTGTGTGGTATGGGCCACACTGAGGGGACCTGGCAGATTTTGCAACAGTAACATGCTTTCTTTAACACCCAAGAGAAATTCAAAATCCTCAAAAGCTGTTGTAACAGGCTTGAAGCAGGAAAAGGGGGCAAAAATCTTGGGAAAATCATCCTCTCCTGCTCCTTCCACAAACTGGCTATGATTATTAGTAGACCCAAAAAAATTGTGCCCAAGGTAAGTGAAGGAGAGCAACACTGAATACACATCCCAATGTCCCTCACTGACCTCTATGCTGTCATGTCATTAGCTAATATCCCCCAATATATCAACAAAGAAACCCTGATCCTTCCCCCTGCTCTGAAAAAGAGCACTGCAAGGCACACATACAGGAGTATGTATAGACAGGGTTAGAACAGAAGAAGCAAAATTGTAACTGGTGCTCCATGCTTAATATAATGAATGCCTGGATCAAATCTGATCCAGCAATAAGGTAAGGTGATGTAGAATAACTTGTGTGTCCTAGCCATGCACTCTCCTGTCTACTGTAAAAAGTAACCTTTGCTGTCCAGAACTGAGATAGGTGGCTTCCTTCACTGCATGTCCAAGGGCATGGCAGGAAAAACACCAGCCAGCATCATTCTGTCTATATCACCCCTGCCCCTAATTTGTGGTTGTGATTAGGATGTTTCTGTCCAGAAGATGTCAAATTAGACCACTGGGTTTTTTTATATCTACTTCAGCTGAAAGACCTTCACCCTCTAGTTCCTCCCTTTTGCCACAAATAATAATTTCTCAACAGAATTTTGCAGTCAATATGCTACAAGAGATCCCAGAAGTACTCTAACTCAGTTTATTTTATACGCCAAACTAAGTGTGCAGGCTGTTTGATTGACAGTCACAGGGGTAGTGACTCCTCTGATGTTATCTTGGGCTGCTTTATAAGAAAACCTGTGCAAGGCAAAGCCTCCTTCTCCCACCAGTTAGTATATAAAAAGCTGCCAGTGAGCTGCTGTAGCAAAGCCTGCAGTGGTTCCAAGAGATAGGCAGACAATAACCACCTGCTTGGGGCAAGAAAATGCAACATGCAGCACACAGACATCTTCACAATGCTTTTGGCTCTCCCTCCTTTCCCCCTTCTGTGTTCAGACAATGAAAAATTAACTCCAAGCAAGTAGTACTTGATGTCATGTAATTGTAGGTGTACTCCTTTAGTAAAGGGCAGGATTTTCACCTGAAGGTACGTGATTTTTTTTACATGCAGAGCTCTGTGTTCTTATTTGCTGCCTAAAATCAAAGAAAAACCATAATTTAATTCTAAGACATTAAGTGGAAGGGTTATCTAACAAATTTGTAACACTTCAGAAAAGAGATTTTCTCTGAAGGACTATTCAGCTATTGGCTGAACATCCAGCTGAAATTCCCAACAACTTCCCAGCAGCCAAGGACCAGGTCTTCATGCAGACTCCCATGAATGACTGAAAAACTGGGATTTTCTTCATCAATGGTATATCAAGAGAGCATGCCTGCTTATTGCAAAGTCAAAACATAGTGTGGAGCACCTGGATCAAATACTTTGGCACGGGAACAAAGCTAATTGTCTCTGGTAAGTACCATTATCATTGAATTTATTTTCACAGAATCATTCAGGTTCTCAGATAATCAGGAATGAAAGACTGTGAGGAAAATTAATTTCTCCCTGATAAATCATATTTTGTTTGTAAACTGTGCATGGTGTCCCAGTTGGGTAGGTAGATTTAAATACTGGGATGCTTCCATCCTGTTCTAGGAAACAAAAGTAAACTTCTTGAAAGTTAACTCCCAGAACAGCATGTGAGAAATAAAAAATTTCTTATTGCCAGAAGTGGTCTGGTCTAAATTGATTGGGAAGAAAAATTCCCTGAGTATAATGAATGTCTAGTTCCTGGCCCTACTGAAAGCAACTGGTTTGCTTTTGTGTTATTTTTAATTGTGGTGAACCTGTGCAATTGAAAGGATGAATGCTGTTTTCAGTATAAAGCATTTAGATAACAATGCCTACAGTATGTTACTCAGAAACTACATTACATTATCAAGGTGGCTATAATTAAGGCGAATTTCAAATTGCTGAGGAGAATTACAGAGAAATTTAAAATGTTGTCTATCCATGCCTCTCACCAAAAATTTTCAGAACTTTTTACTTGCAACAGGAATTAAGGTATTTCTAGAAACAGCGCTCTAGTCAATGTTGAAAATTCAGCTATAGCAGCCAGCCTCTAAATCAGAGAGATTTTTTTCTCTAGCCTATGGAGGAAAAGTGCAGTGCAGGGGATACAGATAAGCATTATCAGACTGTGGGATGCTGACATCAAAATATTTGGAAGTGGAACTGAACTTAGAGTTTTGCAGAACACAATGTAATTGGTCTGTATTTATGCATGAAATGGAGGAAACACAACAGCTATTGCAGCAGAGACCTATATCTTATCCCATTATGATTTTCTATGTAAAAATGAATTTAAATACGGCAAAGACAGCATTTGGAGAAAAGAAAAATGTTTTTTATCTCTAAGTATGCACATTTGACCTTTGTGATACTCCTAAGTCACTCTGACAGTAATATGTCCAACCTCTGAATAGCAAAATATTTTTCTTTCGGACTGTATCTGACTGTGAATGAAAATGAGAGAGTTATCTGAGATATGCCCAGAACAGTAAGTTGCACCTTTGAAGATAGGCAGAGTTGAAAGGCTGCTCTCTCTTCCTAGCTTTTGCAGAAACTGCTTATTATCAGTTATTACTACAATTCAAAGTATTTTCCTTCAAGTAAACCCTAGGTGCTGTGATACTTGCCTGTAATTTGGCTCAGCTAAGCATCCTGGATGAAAATAGTTTGCCTAATTTTGACCAGCTGGAAATGGTGTATCTTGTTAGTGGGAATTTTGATTCCAATCAATGCAGTTTTGCTTCATGTTACTGGTAACAAAAATATTGGTCAATAGTCTCATGCTCCTCAGATCTCTGCATAATGTTCACCAGTTCTAGGTCTGATCTTATGGGGATGTATAAGGAGCAAATTACTTTGCCAACATCTGATCAAATAAATCTTATGGTGATGCTGCCTGTTTCCATAAAGCAGAGATGGAGCTAAGGTGCCCCATCTGCCCCATCTGTCCACCTAAGCTTTCAGAAGACTCAAATTAATTGAGATGAATCCTGTTCATTAACAACTTTTATGCCCTCCAAAGATTCCACCTTTTTTCCTTTTTTTTTTTTAACTTTAGTTTATTTTAGGTGACAGCTCCTTTTTTTACTTTCTTAGGGTCTAAAAATTGATTATACAGTAATCTGATTTTCTTTAGAGTACTATTTACCCATGTAAACACAACTAAGCCACACTGATATTGTAAAGGCTTTAGTCGCTGTGATTGGCTATTATAACAAGGTGTTTGGCTCAGGCACAAAACTTGTTGTCTCAGGTAAGTTGAATTTATATTGTTAATACAATTATGGGAGCTTGGAGTGGTCATATAGATGAGTATTATACTATCTCAGAGGTCACTCAGCCCACTTAGAGCTTCAATCAACACCGTTCATTGTGCAGGATTTTCCTCCCCAGCTAGCCATTCCCATATTCATCCTTGTGGTATTTGTAATGCAGTGGGTTAGGATCACAAACATGCCTAAAAAGAAGCTATTTCAGGCCACTTTTGATCATAGTTCTCCTAGAAGTCTGGTGGAAAATGGTGTGTAATAGTTTTCAGAGACCTCATTCTTTCCTCCAGCTGTACTGAGGGAATTCAAGGGAATTCAGGGAATCTAGAAGCTGAGAATTAAGTATTAAAAAAGAAAACCTCATTTTAATACAGATACAAAGAGCAGTATGGCTTTGCAAAAATTTTTTTGAATTAGGCTAGAAAAAGTGAAATAACTTGTTCATAATTATTTTGTCACATACATAACACTTTGCATTTGAAATAAATTAGCACATCCAAATTTTCTTCTCATTACTTAATAACCGCTTAACAAACTAATTAATTATTCGGTATTAATTATGGTGAATTACTGCTTAGTAATTTCTTAATGAATAAGTGATCCTTTCTTGCCTTTCTTGAAGAGACATCAATTTTAATGGAAAGTGGCAGACAAATATATTTTTTCCCACTTCCCACATGTGCTTTAAATGACATAATCCTGAAGTGAACAACTATTCAAATAAAAGGCAGAGGAACTACTTACACCAAGGGTTTTAAGCCTGGTAAATACATAAACCTATATTAACTTATCAAGCAAATTGGTATAATGATTTATGCCAGAAGGACTTAGTAAATCATAACTATAATTCAGTGGAAATATCTGTGGCATGACAAGCACATTGTTTTTAGTGAAAACTCTTACCTACCTAACCGGGTAATTGCCATGCTTTTCCTACATACAGTTTAAAATAAATTATTTTCAAGCATAAATCTAATTCTGTAGGATTTTGTCTTTATGAGGCCAAGGCTTTTGACCCATTACTAGAGTAAAAGGGCTGTAGTTACTTCACATTTAAGAACTTAAAATCATTAAAAAATGGAGAAAACCAGGACTTAGGATAAGGGTCTTTGTGAATAGAAGCATTAACTGAGATTGAATCCAAATATTCTACTTTCAAGAAGCCAAATCAAGAGAATCTTATTGTTCATATTATAGTTGTTTAATCTGGTACTTTTCTGGCCAAAATCGTAGAATCATAGAATGGCTTAGGTTGAAAGAGACCTTAAAGATCATCTAATTTAAACTCCAGTGCTGGACACTTTCCACTAGGTGAGGTTGCTCAGAGCTCCATCCAACCTTAAACACTTCCAGGGATGGGGCATCCACAATTTTTCTGGACTCTCTGTTACAGTGGCTCACCACCCTCACAGAAAAGAATTTCTTCCTAAGATCTAGTATAACCCTACTCTTGTGTCACTAACCCTACTGTCCTGTCACTACATGCTCTTGTAAAAAAGTGTCTCCATCTTTCTCGTAGGCTCCCTTCAGGTACTGAAGAAAGCAATTAGGCAATCCCAAAGCCTTCTCTTCTCCAGGCTGAACAATATCAGTTCTCTCAGCCTTTCCTCATAGGAGAGGTCTGATCCATGTGTTGGTTCTGGACTTGCCCTAACAGGTCAATATCTGTCCTGTGCTGGGGACCCCAGAGCTGGACTCAGCACTGCAGGTGGGGTCTCATCAGAGAAAAGTAGAGGCGCAGAATCCCCTCCCTTGCTCTTCTGGTCATGTTTTTGATGCAGCCCAGGACACGTTTGTCTCTCTGGCTGTGAGTGCCCATGGCTGGATCATGACCAGCACCCCCAGGTCCTTCTCCCCAGGGCTGCTCTCCATCTGTTCATCCCCCAGCCTGTGTCAGTACTGGGGATTGTCCCAACCCAGGTGAAATACCTGGTACTTGGCTTGTTAAACCACATGAAGTTCCCATGGGCCCAATTCTTGAGCTTGTCCAGGTCCCTTTGTATGTCATCCCGTCCTTCAGACAGCAGTTTCTGTAAAGGACTGTACCAGAGTGCGGATATATGTAGTGTTTGGTTCTGGCACAAAGCTCTTTGTCTCTGGTAAGTTTTTTCACAGTCTTATGTCTTTAAAAGTTTTGTAATGGGAAAGCTTTGGGAAGCAGGCTGACAGTTCTTTAAGGTATCTGGAAAGGCTCACCATAGGTCAGGACTATACTTTATTGTTATCAGTTATAATCCCTGAAGTTGCTGTCAAGCAGGAGAAGAATGCTGTTTATGAGCTGGGTGCACTGAGTGCCCTCCAGTCCCACTGGCTTGAAGTGGGACAGAGGAGCTCTGAGTGTCAGCACAAAATAATTCCATTTTGTGGGATCATCCAAGCAGTGAGAACTAAAATTCCAGTTTAAAAACACAGTGACCTTATTTATAAATCTTGTTTATAGATACTTATAAAGAAACTGTGGGGGAGTTTAATTAAGGAAAACTTTTGACAGCTAATATATCTAAACATATATTTTGAACTTAATTTTTTAATAGCTCATTGGTTATGAACCTAACTCCAGGATTTTGTTTGAACAATGTTTTACTGCCTCGCTGCATCGTTACATGAGAGAAAAGACAAATCTTAGCTTAAGAAATATCTGCTCATACCTATATTTTATGTGAAAAAGTAAGACCTATGTACATCTTAATATACCTCTGCCTTAGAAAACTGTTTAACAAGGTAAACCACAACAGTTTTCAATGTTTAGCCGAATCAAAACTGACAGAGGAGTGCAAGTTCATTACTTTAAAATTCTTTAGAAAGAATCAGATAATTTACCCAGAAAAGCCAGTGTAAACTGTCTTACTGACTTCAAAGAGTTTGTGGAACAGCCTGAAAATACATCAAAACCTACAACCAATTCTACAAGTTTTCATATTTTTTTTTTCAGAAACATGCATACAAAGATACTTTTTGTCAAGTAAAGATGAATAGATAGATAGATAGATAGATAGATAGATAGATAGATAGATGCAAAACTTAACTCTTTTCAATTCTCCACTGTCATCCATTTGCCCGTATATGTACATGAGACACTTCAAGGCATGAAGACAGCAGCAATTATTCAAGTAATGTGTTCCCTCAGTATTTTGGTATGATTTAGGTGTTTCATGTAAGCTACACAACTAGGGTGCAATAAATGGAATGATGTTGGCAATTCCAGAGGTGGAAATTATTCCATCATAACAGAAGTCTCTAAAATGAGCAGGATGAGCTAGCAGTTAGAAGAATCTCTCTTGCCTCTCCATTTAGATTTGATATCCTGATAGAATGTCAAACTAAGCAATTAAATGTACTGAAATTAGAACAACTTACTAAACTTAGAAAATCTAATAGAAACCTCTAAAATAGTCATGAAGCTTTGCAGAATACACTGGGCCAAGAGCTACTTCATGGTCTTGTGAACATATACCAACAAATAGATAATTTTAGAAATTGCTCTAATCTTCAATGCTTGGGAGGACTGATGCATAAAGAAGAAAAAATAAACACCTAAATTAATGTTAGGGAGCTATAAAGTTGTCAGCAACTTTATTTCTGATACAACAGAACCCAGTCCACATTGTCATTTTAATGACCTCTCTAAAATGAAGGAAACTCTTAATATAAGGAAGGTAGACAGGTCATCTTTCTCTTTAAGGACCAAGTTTCAAATACTTCAAAGAATCAGTAAGTTGTTTCAGGGAGAATGCAATGTAGAAGATTTCTCTAGAACAGCCAGATCATTTAAAGAAAAGTGGAAGCTTTTTGGCAAAAATGAGTTTTATAGTAATGTATTTTCTCCCAATGCATTAAAACGGCACCAGTCAGATGAAAACTTGAACCCCACGCGTCTACTTGCTCAAATTCAGTGGCAGAGATTTATATAGAAATTCAAGAGAAAAAGTGGGATAAGGGAACACCTAAAAGTTCTCTGCTGCCTTAAAACAATACTCTTAAGCAGTACTTTCTATGTAACAAAAGTCAGCTTTGAAAACTGTATTCAGCCTTCGCTTGCAGTTAAGTATGGACAGAAATGATTGAATGTGAGCACTGCAGAAGATCACATTTACCTAAATAGGACCCTTAAATTTACTATCCACTTAAATAATATCAAAACCTATCTCAATGTGGACAGAATCTGGATGATTTTGTCTCCTCCTAATCCAGAGAGCATCCAGGCATAATCCAGAGAGGCAAATGAAATGGAGATTATGTCAAATAAACTTGTGGAAACAGCTTTAAATTTTAAATATATACATGTATATTCATACTGAGCATAATTCCCAAAGCACAACGCCTGTGCAGACAACTCTGGCTAGATATGCTGTTTAGATGTGAAAGTGTTATCCAGCTATAGCATGTTCTTCTGCTTTAATTTAGTTTTGGTTTTTTATTTCCAGACACAATATTTCAATCATTTAAACAGATCTAGTATGGCTGAATGGCACTGCCAACCTTTGGTGTCTAGGGCATTTTGTGATTCCATTTTTCTGTATTGATGAAAATCTTCACCTGGCAAATACATGGAATGCCTTAAAAACAGAGCAGTCATTGTTGCCTTCCCTTCCCTCACCCCCTAAAAATATCACAAAATTAATATTGGCTTTTAAAAAATTAATAGATATAGCAGATGTTAATTAGATGACAGTGGGGACTTATACTGGGGACATAAGATTTCTAGGATTTTAAAGGTAAGTGGTCTATACTTAATATTCTGTGGACTTAAGTTAAAATTTTAATGTACTTGTTTTTGCATAAATACTGTAGAGCGATATTAAATTCCTCTTACTGAATAAATGAAGTTCAGGAAATATTACTATTATTTAATAATTGTCAGAGACTTGAATGGGTAAATACACTTTCTGACAGCAGTACTGCTTGGAAGGTTGTGGGATATAGCCACCTTAAGGTTTCTAACTCAGTTTCAAGTGAGATTAACAGCTATTGGTATATTCAACAGTATTTCAGTTTCTTATTGTTTCTCAAAAGAGCATTTACATTTGTTACAAGTGTATTAATATTTGTTAATAAGGCATTTATTATGTTGCTCTTTAGAATTGGTATTTTTGGCTGTGTATTTATTTGCTGTACACTACTGATCTTACAGCTCTCTGTTTTGTTAATTTTCTCCCTCCAATAACCCATCCAGAAAAAGGAAGTTCTCCCCCAGCAAACTCTGAAATCCTGCAGAAAAAACATGAAAACCAGATAACCTATGTTTGCCTTATTGAGAAATTCTACCCAGAAGTTATTAGGGTGACATGGACTGAAGACAAAAAGGAGATAACAGACAACGTAGTGAAAGGAGACACTTGGCTGTCCAGAAAAGAGGATGAATACTCAATTGCCAGTTGGTTAACTGTGCCAGCAGAGAATGAGGACAAGAAATACTACTGCAAATATGAGCATGAAAAGGAAAAGGCTTCACTGTCAACACAAGGTATATTCCACATGTTAAAAATGTAATTGGATGTACTATTATAAACATAATTTTTATTTACAATAAAATTAAGAGTAATAATGCTTTCTATTACTGATGAAAACATCTGTGCTCCTAGGCACAACAGCTAAAGTACACAACTGGTGAAACTACCCAAAGTTTTCCCAGGAGAAGTAACTCAGCCTGTTATGGTCCCCCAATAAGCATCCCATTGCATATAGAAAAAATTGCTTTACAGAAAAATAATAGTTATTTTAAAGTAATGAATCTCATCATGTGTAAACTAGCACAGCTCCAACAGATCTGCACTGAAACATGTCTGTTCCTTTCCATCTTACAGAAGTTTCTGGAAAAAGTATTATTTCTCATATCTTACAGGTGTAATTCCTTCTGACACCCCCTGACATTATCACAGCTATAAAAATCTAAGGAGTTAAAAATGAGGTTACTGAGGATGTAGAGCAAGTTTAAAAATATTACTTACCTACTATCCAGAAATAATAAGTTAATAATAAGTTAATAGCCATGTATAAAAATAAGGTTTTGTTTTTAATTGTGGAAAGATTGATTCTGATTGTTGAAAGACAAATCTGAAAGACAATGCAACTTTAAAGAAAAAGTAGCTTATACTCAATGCAAATTGTTTAAATCATCTATAAGAAAAGTTGTCTACATTGGTTTAGATTAATCTTCTCTCCATACCTACCTCTGCTTAGCTTACTATAAATTAACTTAACTCAAGTGAGTGAGCTCATGGCCATAAACAACAATTATGTTTCAACCTTCAAAATATATTTTATTTATATGGAGGATGTATTTAGACACGCAATATAAATGTCCTTCATGTTTATATCAATGCATACAAACAACATAAACAAGAACAAACTCAAATTTGCTACTTCAAGAACAAAAAGGATGTATTTTAGAGAAAAATGCAGCACCAAGATTCCCAGTAGGGAAAGTTAAGATCATACACTCCTCATTATTATGCTTTGTTGTTGAACAACCACTAACATATTAACATATTAACTGAAGTCTCTTCCAATATAAATTATTCTACATTTCTGATAACAGTAGGTTGTGAAGGCAAATGGACTTCAGCCACTTCACTGACAAGGTCAGGTGCTCAAACTGACTACTCTTCCAAATAAAAACTTGGCCCAGGAACAGCCTAACAAACACATTCCTGAAAGGGCAAAGACACATCTCCCACTTATGGCAACAAATACCCAGACACTTCTTTGAGCATTTCTCCTCTTCCAATTCTCTCTTCAAATGAATTCTACTTGTGGATATCTGCTTTACAGACTAATCTTAAGGCTCCTGTTTTTTATTTAATACTAACTGGGGCATTTTCTCAGCCTTGTTTGTGTCCAGCCTCTTTTTTCCCCTATTTCTCAATTCATGTTTGTTAAAACTAAAGAAAAACCTAACTGGAGCATTTAAACTCTCTTTCCAGTCGATTCTGTGGAGACTGCTCCTCAGGAAGAGGACTGCAGAACAGTTTTCAATAGAGGTAATTTAATGTGTTAAAATGTGGGAAAGCGATGCATGTCATGCAAGAGTTAGATATCGCTACATAAGATCTAAACAATCCAAAAATTATCTTTCTTAGCAGTATACAGGAAATCTTTCAAGTCTGGGGTTGGCAACTCAAAAACCTTTCATCACTACTCAGAGCTAGCTTCTTATAAGGGGCTCTCCTGCCTTTACAGGTAGCTTCATTAAGGTGTTACAGATGCTGTTTGGGCTACTAGATTATTAGCCTGCGTTAAGCCCCACTTTTTTAAACACTTGGAGTAGTTAAGCACTTCTGCTGATGCTACATCAGCCTAGCAATTGCCCAGAACTTTGGACAAAGAATTTTTTTTGTCTTGAATGGTATTTAGAAAGAATCATGAGCAAAGAGAAATACATGAAATACAACACAAAAGGATTTAAACAAACATCGTACTAAGTGCTGGAAGCACTACAGTTATGCTCTTGTCTTTACAAGGAATAATAACCCAGTGACACTGAGAGTCAGTTTAGTGCTAAGAAACCCACTAGGTCTAGAACTCATTAGAGGTGCAAACCCACTTAAAGAGCAGAACAGACCTTGTACGTGTTTATGCTGTACTCTGGTGTCAATGTAATTGCAGCAGTAGACTGACTACATTGTTCCATTTCTACCCATTTTTTAGGATGCTATACAATGTTGACATTAAATGAGACTTTTCTGTCTTATATTTGTTACAGATCAGTTAATGCACAGGACAGCATATTTAATATATATCGTCCTTCTTCTGAAGAGCTCCATGTACTATCTTATCATACTCTTCTTCATCTACAGAGTGTGGGCTTCAACCAATACTCTTCTTCATCTACAGAGTGTGGGCTTCAACCAAGCACCAAGGAAAGAAAGCATAAATGCTGTTTTGAGAAAGGGCTACAAATTGATCTTCAATTTACTTTGTCGTATGCTTATCCATAAGGCTCCCCTGCTCTTGGTGTTAGATGCAACAGAAAAAAAAAAAATCAAAAATAATTTTCTGGTATTAGTGCATAAGGGCTCATTTTGCTTTACTGCTAGTGTTTTTATATCAGGCTAATTTTCCTAATTTTTTTCTGAATACTGAATAAAGATAGACAATATGAATAATGCATTTTAATCCAAGTCTGTATTGCAAAATGAAGAAGGTAGCAATGCCTATAACAGGGCTTTTGACATGTAAAGCACAGATGTGTTTTGTCACTGCATTTAAGGCTTTGTTAGGAGCATTCCTGTACAGGAAATTCACAGGTTTGGTTCATTTTTACTTTTAGTGATTTGTTGCAACTCTCATGTATCCAACAAATCTGGAATTAATTATTCTGAAGTGGTGTGCTTTAAGAGATAATTGAACAAAATTTTTAAAAGTGAACAAAAGAATTTTGAATTAAGAAATCAGATGAGAATAAAAGAGATTCTAAGGTGTACATGTGCAGAAATTGAATAAATCCACCAGCACTGTGACATGGTCTGAAAATCAACACATTGTAATTTAATAAAAAAGAAAACAATCACAATGGTCTTGAACATCACTTTATTTAAGGACACCTTTTAAAACTGAGCAAAACTGCAAATGTGAAGCTCTGATAAAATATATTCACAACAGGAGAAAAATTCTCAGATACTTTGAACTCTTAATCTCCCAGTTCCACAAATCAATTCCTTTCAAATTTATGTGGAAAAGTAGGAAGTGGACATATTGGGATAAATCACTTGCTTGGTTTTGGGCAAAACTCTGCCCTAGGTTTTGGAGATATGCCCCTACAGCATTTACATTTACTGTGTCTGTAATGATGGTGGCAATAAAAGCTTTCCTCCAGCTGTCTTTGTGAAGCATGTGTTTGTTCTCCAGCATTTCCACAGCCTGTACAAAGATGTCTAGAAAACCCAATTAATTTCTCTGTTGATATAAATTTCTCAGGAAATCAAAGGTCCTTAAAACATCACTTTTCTGCTTTTCAATGTGTTAATAGAAACACTTTTATATAGAACAATAAATACTAGTTTGTTACATCTTTTCTGCTATAAAACAGAAAGCTGTAAAACAGCTGAACCAAGCCAAGGGGAAATGTTGTTACAACAGGACTGCCTTCTAGGGTTCATGCTATCCTAAGGGAAGGAAAATATACCAGGCTGAGTTCTAGCAGCCACAGCCATTTTACTAATGGCTTAATACCTTACAAGCTATGTTAGAATATGCATATTGCAGCCAAAGCAACTAAATACTGCCTTCAAAGTCATGCTACTCTTCAATGTGAAGAAAGATGTGATCAGTCAAACTCTGTTTGAGAAATATCTGGGATCCCATGCTATTATTTGTTAAAGTTTGGGTCCAATCAAGGTGAAACAAAACAGCCACAAAGGTATTTTTTTGGAACACAGTAACTGTAGATTTCAGTAGCATCATGGTTTTTACCTGGATATTACATGGGCCTCCTCTATCTCTGCTAGACAAATGCTTGAGTGCATTAAAGAACCAAGATCTCTCACTTTATGATCCCCAAATCTACTCTTTGTGTCTCCTACATAAAATTGAAAGGTATTTTCCCTGCACTTCAGAAAAAGAGAGAAAACACAGCAAACCCCCTGCCTATATGAGACCCTAAACCATTACCTCTTGGTTTCAGGCATTTTTCAAATGCTTGGTTGAAGGTTTTACACCTTCCAACAGCTCACATTTCCCTGAAGTTTTTTATGCAAATATATACTGCTCCTACTAAGATTTTAATTCTCATTTATTTAGCTCAAATAAGAGGAAAAGTAGATTTGAAGGTTTCTGGGTGTTGGGGTGTTTGTTTGCAGGAAGGTTTGGTTATGTAGTGGAAAAACCCTATAAACTGAACCAGTCACAACTGGTTCAGAGGAGGTGGACTGTGATGAGAATGGGTGATTAGCTGAGGACAGTTAGACCACAGCCTTTTACCACAGTAGGCTTCTAAACCATTTCCTTTTAATACAAATACAAAGTTAGAAAAACCACATGCCTAAGTTACTTGTGAATACCACGGAGAAAGGCACTGTGTGATACAACTTGGTCTAACTGCATGTTTGTGATACACAGGGACTATTGCTGCCCCAGTAACTCAGGTGCTGCAGGATGCCTGCAGGACTTGCAGTCCTAAGCACAGGACAGAGTTAGATGTTGTCTATTAAGAGTGACCTTCTGTTGTTGGGACTTTGCTAACACTTGAAAGACATGACTTCTCAAGCACATATCTCACACAACTGATTTTCAGTGATTTCAAGCTTCTGCAGGTATGAGCACCACTACAGTAGCTGCTCTCTACTGCTATGGAGTTGCAGAATTAATGCAAATACTACAAAAATGGTTATGGGCAATGTGGTGCTTCTGATAAAAAGAAGAGATCGGACACGATCAACTTTTGCTATGAAAGCACAAAGAAGTCATGAGCACGAATTTGTGGAAAGGCATTTGTATATTCTTTATCATGTTAGAATTATTTTGTGTCTATATGGTACAATTACTTTCACATGCTTGAGAATAATGACTTCTGAACAATCAACAAACAGAAACTCTTTCATGCATTCTTCTCACATGTAGCTGTAAATGAGAAAGATCTATATTAGGATGATTGCAGTCTGCTAACAGATAATATCTGTTGATAATAAGTACCAACACTAATAAATTTTAAGAGCAATTCAAATTGTAGACTATTCAGTTTGAGATTTTGAAATGCGATGTGATGAGAAAACAAAAAAACTCTGAGGAACAGTTTGAGCAATTGTATCTCTGCACCTATAGATAGATACAGCGAGATAGGTAGATAGGTAGGTAGATAGATGATAGATGGATAGATAGATAGATAGATAGATAGATAGATAGATAGATAGATAGAAATAAATCAAATTACAATTAACAAGTACTTGTCAAGTTTTACCTAAGGAGTACAAACTGTCATCAAATATAGTTCCACAATAGATAACTTTTACTTCTTTGCATTACTGGTTATGCCTCCTTGTGAGATACTACAGCATATGGGAATATTCTACTTGCTTTCTAATTAATAAATTCTCTTAGCAGCTCCACTAGCAAATCCCAACAACTTCTCCCAAAGATTTTCTTTTACAGAACTGCAGATTAATAAAAAATGAAATTCAAACCAACACATGGGGGGATGGAGAGTGTTCAAATATATGAAAATGGGGGGGGCTCAAAAGGAAAGGTGTCCCACTGCTCCAAATGAGCACCAGGAGATTTCAAATCAGAAGCTTCAGCTTCTAAAGAAAATTTTATCCTTATGCCAGTTGAAGCTTTTGCCATTTGTGGAAAAGTGAATGCATGGGGCAAGATAATCCTGAAAATAAATGAAGCATTTCTCAAAATGAGGAAATTATCTCCACACAGAATCAAAATGTACTACAAAAGGATACAGGCTTCTGCTGTGACAAAGTGCTCAGAGGCCTCCCCCAAAAAAAGCTGAGATGGTCACAGGATTATGTGTCCAGAGACAGCTCCTGCAGGAGGCACTGCCTTGCAGGAAGGTGGCTTGATGAATTAATAATTTCAGGGAGACTTTTCATTTCCTCTTCTAGAATAGCACAACAAGCAATGATTTTGAGGCTCAGATTGTAAAATAACAGTAGAAATTAACTTTTTCCAGACCAATTTTGAGCATGCTACTAGGAGAATGATTACTCAGCAATCAAGATTACATATCTCATCCCTTCACATTTAATATGAAGTCTCTAAGTCTCTAACATTTCATATACTTTAATGTAATTTCATTTTTCATACCCATAAAGGGTGCGTGAACTTTTTACTTGACAGCTGCAGCAGACTAGCAGAAAGAAAGTGCTCAAGCTGTTGCTGAGGCCCAAGCAGCAGCTACTTGAAGTCAGAACAATGGTGGTCACAGGCCCCTGGCCACCACAGGGAATGTGAGGCATGATTCCTGAATTCACACACAGCGTTAACCTAATTAAACTGTGAAGAAAAGTTTGTTCAACCCTTGCGTGTGGGCAGGGAAGTAAAGAAGGAGTAGAAGGAGGGAGAATCAGAAACATTCCTACCTTCAAGTACAGTCACATATATAGGAACAAAAGGAGAACATTTCCAAAATTAACATACAGTTTTTTAAAGCTTTCTGAATCTTTGACTGCTACACCTACAGCAAACGGCTGGGCCTCCTTTTTAAAATGTGAACAGCTTATTTCATTTATGTAGTTTCGATTTGCTTTTTTGGTGAAAGTACGGTTTCCACCAGGAGGCCTTATTAAACCAGCAATCAAAACCAGATCACTGATTATGTTTAACTAAAATACATATTTTTCCCTTTGAGTCATTAGAGTGTTTTAGTCTACAGGGAATCCCAGGGATTATGCTGTTGCATAAAATTTCAAGAATCTCTATGCAGGAAAGACTCACCGTACCTGGAGCCTCAGCATCCTGACCAGTAAGTAGGTTATTTAATTCACAACCTATACTATGGTAACCCAAGTTTTTCTCCTCCCATTTTCTGTGTCAAAACCAGACCTTAATTCGCAGTGCACTGTAGTGCACAGCATTATATTTTTTACCTCATCACCCTAAGGCAGAGGTTTTAGACCCTTACACCAAGACACTGCAAGGTTTCTTGCTATTTTATCAAGTTCTAACTCCTCTTGAGAAAGCTTTTGACATCTATCTTGAACATACTCTTGAATATCCTTGGATATACAATGAATATCTTGAATAGGTACAGAGCATACCTGCTCATCTTCACATAAGCTTGCAAAATAAATGCAAGCAAACCCCTCATGCAAGGAAAAACACACAGAATGTGCACATGGGCTTACAAAGGCCATGAAAGGTTATAAACACTTCTGCCCTCAGGCTGACAATTCTATTTCTGCAGGCCTCTACTTGGGAAAAAAAATCTACTTCCTTCAGAAGCTTTGGGAAAGGCCGTTGTCTAAACTCTGACACACTCCTTTAGGCAAATTTAAGGACAGAGCAACAGCCAGACAGCACATTCATTCTGACTAT